AATCTTCTTCAAATCAACTTTCACGGGGCCATAGTTAGTTGAAACCGTAAAAAAGTATTCTGTCATTAACCACTGTATGATCGTCAGAAACTCCTAATCCGTTTTTATCAGGCTTTAATCGAAGATTGGTTCGGGATCAATACGTTTGGCGGCTACACTTAGATTAAACATATTTCAGCTGAGAGCGTCATTGCAATCTGTACATTCAATGAATATTTACCCCTAGGAAAAAGCAATTTCCATGAAAGACTGCAAAGCTTTTCCCACCCTTTACTCTCTTCAGAGGCTTTTCTTTGTTGAACTAAAACTGGGACAATTGGTTTAATCCCCTAGGATTGTATCTACCTATGACGTATCACCCGAAGCGGAATTGGTCGTAGGACCCGTAGAGTTTGATCGTTCCTCCAATATAAATCGATACACACTAGCAAGCATGGGGTTTAGTTGCTTTCCACATTAAGTAGCATCTTGAAATCACGAAATCACATACTCCAATTACAAAGGACGCTCCATACTTAATCCACCTAACCGCTCTCATGTTTGTAGTCCATCAGAGGGATCCAAAGAATCGTGTCAGTGACGCGGAAATCCAGCCAGAATGCACTTAGGTGCGTCTACTAGTAAAATGTTAGTAGCCAAAATTTAAAACGCGATGGTCCGTCAAGGTCCACCAATCAAATGCTGGCTCGTACATGTTCCTACTCACAGGAGTCAGTAGCTGAACTACCAAGTAATGCTGATTCACATAAACATGGTCATAATTCTGAACTGGTGAAAGGCTTTTGCAGCTAGTCATCTTTACTTGTTTTATTCTGCGATCTAATGCAATAAAGAAGCTCGAAAACGGAAGTCTCCTTGTGACAACCGTCCTTTCAACAGGCGGATGCGTAAACTTTCTAGGACTCAAAACATTGAAAGTGAACTTAGAAGAGGTGTTCTACAGGTGTTTTACAATAAATTCACCGGTTGGTCTTGTCAAAAACCTACTGGAGGCTGTGAGAAGATCTAGTGCACATGAATCCCTCTGAAGAACAGAAACTATTCACCAGAATCATTTCCAACTTAGTCAGATCAATGCACAAGCCCACACGAGTTACTGAGCTCAAGCATTTAACTCCGAGTACAAGGAGGAATGCACAAGTAGGATGTTGCGCATATTATTTTACACGTGCTGGAGCCCAAGAAGCGGTGAAAATAAGAATGCGTAAAAAAGCAGATTGATTCAGTGGTTGGTAGGTGGCTGCGGCTCACGCGAACTGGATCGATACTGGATTCAATCAGGAGTGAATTGTACGCCCTCCAAATGACAGAGTCGCGAATAATCCTTTGGCATCAACTACTGGTTTCGTTCCGTGCGTCAAAAGGAAATGTTCCCATATTTCTTTTCAAATTTCCAATCAGGTCAGAAGTTGCGGAGAACCTGTTCAAAATCTCTCCTAGTTGGTCGGATAATTGAAACTTCTTTATGATATATGTCAGATATCGCAGTATATGGTCACACACTTTACTGAATTGCCCTATAACAGTCCTATGCTGATGTTCGAACACAGAACAGGCTTACCATTTAACATTAGCAAATTCACACGAACACACTTTTTTCATACATCAATGGGAATTCAAGGATGTCTATGTGCATAATTGAGCAAAGACTGGCATCCGAACAACATCCTACAAACTGAGAGTATGCGGCAACTGCAATGGCTGGAATGAATATCGCATGGTCGGGATAAACAAGACAGCCTGCTTTATTGCCTCCACTGAAATCATGCTCAAACGATCGATTCAAACTACTGCACTAAGGCCAAAAAATCGATACCTTCTGGAATAAGGTACAGCGAGATTAAACAAAGCCTGCTTGAAACTTTATGAATGCCAGTATAGATAAATCACTCAACAAAAGTGTAGTAACGGTATTTTCCTCAGCTTAGTTCAAGGTCTGAGCCTCCCAAGCTAGCGTTCACGTCAAAACAACCACTAAAGGTGCACAAGGTATATTAACGCCCAAAACGAACTTAGGAACACTTGTACAGCGCTCCAAATATATAACGTAGGCGGCAATAGTTTTCTGGAAATTCTGACGCGTTATGGATGCGTCATTGGAAATCGGCATTCGGTCAATACTGGGTCATGATCGGCTGTTGGGTCCAGACTTTCGACCAATCAGATCTCGTCTTGATGCCGGACCCGCAAGCGTCTCGAGCTCTTGGCCAATCTTGCGTGGGATGGACGTCTTGACCGTAGCAGCACCAGACTGCGAGCGGTAAAGAGGGATCCGTGTTGAGTTCCGCCTAACAAAAGGGTCGTTCCGTAAAAGACCTTCCCCAAACATCATTAAAAAGTAATGTCATTCAGAGTGAGAGGCGTAACCACACTGGAACTTAAAGGTTTTGATAACCCGAAAGTTGAAATAAGGTGATTTTTCTTATCACAAAACGAAGTCAAAGGATACCGTTGATGCCCAGTTTCTGGAATGAACCAAAATAGTTTGCCTAACTTAGTTTTCCTAGCTGGTATTCAGACTCGTGTCGCAGGATATCAGGATGACAAACAAGGCTCACTCACTCCTCGTTCGAAAGAAAACGTGTGAATGAAACAGCACTGCTCGATGTCAAATCGTGTATAAGGATCCAGCAGGGTGGGAGTAACCATGATCCCTAATGTACGAGGCGCACAATCGTACAGAGACCAAGATAGCACACTCAAACTAAATATTTAACATGCAGATAATCATCCACTTGAAAAATCGCCTTTCAAATACAAAATGAAATCTATCGTTACTCTGGAGCTGTGCTTGGCTGGTAGGTCCAAAAATGGCAGGAATCAGCTGTAGACTGTCAGGGAGTGCATCAATCTCATAAATAGTATCATATCAATCGAATATGAAGTCCATTTCATCAAATCTTTGTAGAACTTTATGTAAACCCAGGCTTTCATCTCGAACTACTAGGATGGAATGGACTCATCGTGTGCACCTGTGCTGGTCGACAGAAGCGTTCAGCTGTAGCACCCTTCCGGTGTCCAACTGCCATGCATTCAGAAGGAAGCACGGGGGGTGGGATACCGCCAGGTAGCCCAAGCCTAGACAGACAAATTCAAGAAGCAGAGGTCGGGTTCGAACCACGAACCTTCCGGTCGGTAAATTCGTGTTCTAACCACTGGGCCATCTCACTGATCAACAGAAAAGTGTACGCATACAGAACTCTCAAAATTTAACCAGAATTCCCAGTGCATGGATGAATATCCAATACCGCATTGATTTTTGAAGATCCAGTCTATCGAATCAAGTTAATAAAAAACACTGCGCTCATCACAGGCTGGGTTGTCTTTGAAGTCCTTGTATTCAAACCTTCGGATATGTTTACTGATCATACGCTGGTCTGAGCGTCTACAGCACCTACATCAAACAGTATTAGAATGAGAAGAAGCGCAAAATTCGGAGCGGACTTAACTACATACAGCAAACAAGTCTGCTCAACAGATTGTACGTGAAAAGACAGTACATTCACTGTGTTTCATGAGCTGGTCAGTATTTTCAAACATAGTCCTGGTCGAGTTTCTTAGGTCACTAACCACATAAAAGGTCACTACTGCAGAAGTTAGACAGCGCATGTGAGACGATACATAACCACCGTCATTTGAGGAGCTTTACAGGATTTTCAACTGTTGTACCGTGAGAAGCGCTCCTGTACAGCGGAAGATGATTCTCAACAGAGGTTGAACAGGAGAAAATATTACTCTTCAATTTCTTCAAGAGCAACTTAAAGACGCTTGTATTCAATGCCATTGAGCTAGCCATCAACAGCTTGTTGCCAGTGAGACATAACCCGTTGATAGTCACGTGAACCATCAGTCTTTCGAAGGGAATTGGTTTTCTTGACATAACACACTATTCATGAGGTCACTGGAACCCTTCGACATCAAACTATTGTTTGCTTGGGGCTTAGCAGTAAATGTGACTAGGTCACATCATGTTCCACATCACTTGTACCGCAAACTGGGTCTACTAACCGTTCGAATGTGATCCAGCTTATTGCAGTGGTGACATTAGGAACTTCTATGCATGTATACATAGCGCGAAAGCACAACTTCCAACGTCTGACTGACCATGTGTTTCATTCAAGTTGCCACTGTTTATCCCTGAGTTTCATTAAAAAGCACTGAGCTTTCCTCACTAGATTCAGCGCTGTCTGGCGTAGTAGCGGCAATTAGATCCTGAGATTGTTCACAAGGGGCTAGTGTCCATTGAAAATGATCATCACTCTCAACCACCGCAAAACGTGCAAAACGGGGTAAATAGGCGAAATAACAAGTTCTCAGATAAATCTCACAAAGTGACAGGGTAAATAAAGGCTTGGCAATCGCAGACTCACAATCGGGTCTTTCCGAGTGTACAGCACTGGCTTCGATTGATTAATCAATATTGTCTTCATAAATTCGATTCTTTTTGACCGGTTGAATCTTGCGATGACCTAGAATGATGAGTTGAATTCAACATTCTGCCTACGTGCAGTCAAGTAAATCACAATCGATTATTCGAACTATCTCTTGATTGAAACCGCATCGAAAAATGGCCCACAAATTAGTCCCGACAAGTATTCCTTATCCGGCGCCTCAAGCCTTCTATCAGTCCTGGCGTTTCACCGCACCTGTAGATGAGGTGACTGGTGGATGGAAGTGACATTGGCACTTCGCTCGGGGGGCAGTGTTTCCGCACAGTATAATATGTCCGTCGCATTGCCACATCTAATGTCTTTTCAAGAATCATCTATTGCCAATGGGATCAACTTGTCACGAAGTTTCGGGTGCTTTCCACCAAAACCATCCAGACAGTTTTCCAACCGTCACACACAGTTCTAAGTAGCTGAATCTCCTCATCGAATGTAACCGGTGTATATGTGAAAGCCTCAAACTTCACTGGAGAGAAACCAGTAGAATTATACTGAACCGTTTAGGTTCCTTTGAGTTAAAACACCCAAAGAAAAATTTGGTTGTCTAGTTCGAGTGCATAAGTGAACTTAGTGTTTTCTGACGGAAGTTTTTAGAAACAGTGAGTATGTTTTCAGTATGTCTGCCATACACTGCAATCAATATTATCCGAATATCTCCTCCAAACAGGAGCGGCTTGAATTTCAATTTCTGCAAATTGCTCCAGTTTGATCTTAAAGATGTCTACCAGGTTTGGTCCAAAAGGACTTCCCATGGCTACATCATCATAGCTGGTGCCTGGAAAAAGAATTAGATCACTGGGAGTTTAAAGTAGCGAGAGCTTAAGATGTGTTCGTGTGTTTGAGGGACGGCATGAAACCTACCTGCCTGGAAACATCACAAAAGAGAGATTCAACTGGGTTCCAGGTGAGTCTCTCGCAAAACTAAATTAGTTTGCAAATGGGTGCACTTGGCTACCGTAAATACTTTTCACCAAAAGTTCACACTTCCAAATATATAACGTAGGCGGCAATAGTTTTCTGGAAATTCTGACGCGTTATGGATGCGTCATTGGAAATCGGCATTCGGTCAATACTGGGTCATGATCGGCTGTTGGGTTCAGACTTTCGACCAATCAGATCTCGTCTTGATGCCGGACCCGCAAGCGTCTCGAGCTCTTGGCCAATCTTGCGTGGGATGGACGTCTTGACCGTAGCAGCACCAGACTGCGAGCGGTAAAGAGGGATCCGTGTTGAGTTCCGCCTAACAAAAGGGTCGTTCCGTAAAAGACCTTCCCCAAACATCATTAAAAAGTAATGTCATTCAGAGTGAGAGGCGTAACCACACTGGAACTTAAAGGTTTTGATAACCCGAAAGTTGAAATAAGGTGATTTTTCTTATCACAAAACGAAGTCAAAGGATACCGTTGATGCCCAGTTTCTGGAATGAACCAAAATAGTTTGCCTAACTTAGTTTTCCTAGCTGGTATTCAGACTCGTGTCGCAGGATATCAGGATGACAAACAAGGCTCACTCACTCCTCGTTCGAAAGAAAACGTGTGAATGAAACAGCACTGCTCGATGTCAAATCGTGTATAAGGATCCAGCAGGGTGGGAGTAACCATGATCCCTAATGTACGAGGCGCACAATCGTACAGAGACCAAGATAGCACACTCAAACTAAATATTTAACATGCAGATAATCATCCACTTGAAAAATCGCCTTTCAAATACAAAATGAAATCTATCGTTACTCTGGAGCTGTGCTTGGCTGGTAGGTCCAAAAATGGCAGGAATCAGCTGTAGACTGTCAGGGAGTGCATCAATCTCATAAATAGTATCATATCAATCGAATATGAAGTCCATTTCATCAAATCTTTGTAGAACTTTATGTAAACCCAGGCTTTCATCTCGAACTACTAGGATGGAATGGACTCATCGTGTGCACCTGTGCTGGTCGACAGAAGCGTTCAGCTGTAGCACCCTTCCGGTGTCCAACTGCCATGCATTCAGAAGGAAGCACGGGGGGTGGGATACCGCCAGGTAGCCCAAGCCTAGACAGACAAATTCAAGAAGCAGAGGTCGGGTTCGAACCACGAACCTTCCGGTCGGTAAATTCGTGTTCTAACCACTGGGCCATCTCACTGATCAACAGAAAAGTGTACGCATACAGAACTCTCAA